CAAACCCTAATAAACTTAAATGAAAGCAGCATGTGTCCCTTTGTGTGATCAAGTTGATCAGATCTCAACGACTAATGATCTAACAATTGGTTTGATGATAAATCAATCTTCACTACTGGCGTCCTATGGCCGTCCAACTGAGGGAATATGGCCGTCCAACTGACGTACTATGGCCGTCCAACTGAGGGTCTATGGCCGTCTAATTGAGGGACTATGGCTGCCCAACTGATAGGCTATGGCCGTCCGAATGAGGGATTATGGCTGTCCAACTGACGCACAATAGCTGTCCAACTGACGCACAATAGCTGTCCAACTGACGCACTTATGCTGTCCAACTGACGCACAATAGCTGTCCAACTGACGCACTAATGCTGTCCAACTGACGCACTATAGCTGTCCAACTGACGCACTATAGCTGTCCAACTGACACACTTTGAACGTGTTACGTAACGTTTAACAAAATGTATTTTGTTTTAAGTTTTAGCTCGTTAGATAAACAATACGTAACAAAGGAATGAAAACTAGAATACAAAGAAACACTATAACAAAGCTTGTGATATTAATAATACCCGGTAATCAATTGAAGGATACTAACAATCATGTTAAAACGAACAAAAAACAACTTAAAAGTGTAGGGAGAAGAGAAAAAAAAATGAAAATAAATATCCAAAATATTAAATTTAAATTCATTGCCGACATGTAAATCATATTTTTTTATTTTTTATTAAGCTGTCATGAAGAAACAATAAGAAACTAGTCCGATCATTGTGGATAATATCAAAATTTTAAAATAAAAATTCAGTTCATACAACCCCTTTTTTTCAAATTTCTGAAATTCTCAAGTGATCCCTGACATTTTTTCAGGTAACCCCCGTATGAGTTGAGACCCACTGCCATAAACATAATAAAAATCCAACATGGAGCTCAGCTTCGCTGTATGCGTTAGAGTCGCTTGTTGGCACTTGTTACATTTTCTGATACCACCGTCGGTCTGTTAACTTAATAACTATATCATCATCATGGTGATACCCTCCTAGCCTTCCTTCAATGAAGCCTAATGCTTCACTTCAAGTTCATGTTAAATTACATTAGTGTTATTGAATTCTATGACAAAGCTTAGAAATGTTCCACACACACACACAAACTTGGGCCACCCAGTGTCATCAACCAGTCAGCATATCAAATGAAAAAAAAAGTAATTGTAAATAAAATGTGCCATGGTCATAACCAAAGATAGGCATGTTGCTAAGACAAATAATGACATAAAATTCATACGAAGTACATATTTATTTTCAAAGCTTTGCAGTTTCATTTAGCTTACATTTAGTTTCACACCATGTGATAGCATGGATGAATGATGTTTATTGTTGTGAGTAGTGGTGAGAGAACAACTTTGTGACCTGATTGGCCCATGTTGTTGACATGTGGTATGCCTGCATGTGGTGAGTTGTTTTCATTCATGAATGTTTCAACTTAAGGGCGTGGATATTGGTTGGAAAAGTGGAAAGACTGATCATGGAGGTGAGGTGTAAAAAGAGTGCAGAATGTGGAGTAAAGATCAGTTGTTACACCGAACACAGACGAGTTGGCATCATTCATTACTATTACACACCAATCGCCAGTCAATTTTCTATTATTCTTCATTTAATTCAGGCACAATGTACACACATGATGTTCAAGGGATTTAATGGCTGGTTCTATGCATCAATGTACACACATGATGTTCAAGGGATGTAATGGCTGGTTCTATACATCAATGTACACACATGATGTTCAAGGGATGTAATGGCTGGTTCTATACATCAATGTACACACATGATGTTCAAGGGATGTAATGGCTGGTTCTATACATCAATGTACACACATGATGTTCAAGGGATGTAATGGCTGGTTCTATACATCAATGTACACACATGATGTTCAAGGGATGTAATGGCTGGTTCTATACATGTATTTTAATTTTTTTCTAGTTGGGGTGGAACACATTAAAGAAGTGGTAACCACCCGGACCCGGTCATGTGCCGGGTGCGAAAATACTTGATTCACGGGTAGCCGGATGAGTACCCAGCTCAGCCCTAGTTTAAGCCCGTGGTTTCTTCATCACCAATCACCAGCCTGGTGGAGACTAGTGAGTGCAGAGTTCAGAGCCCTAGTTTAAGCCCGTGGTTTTCTTCATCACCAATCACCAGCCTGGTAGAGACTAGTGAGTGCGGAGTTCAGAGCCCTAGTTTAAGCCCGTGGTTTCTTCATCACCAATCACCAGCCTGGTAGAGACTAGTGAGTGCAGAGTTCAGAGCCCTAGTTTTTAAGCCCGTGGTTTCTTCATCACCAATCACCAGCCTGGTAGAGACTAGTGAGTGCGGAGTTCAGAGCCCTAATTTAAGCCCGTGGTTTCTTCATCACCAATCACCAGCCTGGTAGAGACTAGTGAGTGCGGAGTTCAGAGCCCTAGTTTAAGCCCGTGGTTTTCTTCATCACCAGTCACCAGCCTGGTGGAGACTAGTGAGTGCAGAGTTAAGAGCCCTAGTTTAAGCCCATGGTTTTCTTCATCACCAATCACCAGCCTGGCAGAGACTAGTGAGTGCGGAGTTCAGAGCCCTAGTTTAAGCCCGTGGTTTTCTTCATCACCAATCACCAGCCTGGTAGAGACAAGTGAGTGCAGAGTTCAGAGCCCTAGTTTAAGCCTGTGGTTTTCTTCATCACCAATCACCAACCTGGTAGAGACTAGTGAGTGCAGAGTTCAGAGCCCTAGTTTAAGCCCGTGGTTTCTTCATCACCAATCACCAGCCTGGTAGAGACTAGTGAGTGCAGAGTTCAGAGCCCTAGTTTAAGCCCGTGGTTTTCTTCATCACCAATCACCAGCCTGGTAGAGACTAGTGAGTGCAGAGTTCAGAGCCCTAGTTTAAGCCCGTGGTTTTCTTCATCACCAATCACCAGCCTGGTAGAGACTAGTGAGTGCAGAGTTCAGAGCCCTAGTTTAAGCCCGTGGTTTTCTTCATCACCAATCACCAGCCTGGTAGAGACTAGTGAGTGCAGAGTTCAGAGCCCTAGTTTAAGCCCGTGGTTTTCTTCATCACCAATCACCAGCCTGGTAGAGACTAGTGAGTGCAGAGTTCAGAGCCCTAGTTTAAGCCCGTGGTTTTCTTCATCACCAATCACCAGCCTGGTAGAGACTAGTGAGTGCAGAGTTCAGAGCCCTAGTTTAAGCCCGTGGTTTTCTTCATCACCAATCACCAGCCTGGTAGAGACTAGTGAGTGCAGAGTTCAGAGCCCTAGTTTAAGCCCGTGGTTTTCTTCATCACCAATCACCAGCCTGGTAGAGACTAGTGAGTGCAGAGTTCAGAGCCCTAGTTTAAGCCCGTGGTTTTCTTCATCACCAATCACCAGCCTGGTAGAGACTAGTGAGTGCAGAGTTCAGAGCCCTAGTTTAAGCCCGTGGTTTTCTTCATCACCAATCACCAGCCTGGTAGAGACTAGTGAGTGCAGAGTTCAGAGCCCTAGTTTAAGCCTGTGGTTTTCTTCATCACCAATCACCAGCCTGGTAGAGACTAGTGAGTGCGGAGTTCAGAGCCCTAGTTTTTAAGCCCGTGGTTTTCTTCTACACCAATCACCAGCCTGGTAGAGACTAGTGAGTGCAGAGTTCAGAGCCCTAGTTTAAGCCCGTGGTTTTCTTCATCACCAATCACCAGTCTAGTAGAGACTAGTGAGTGCGGAGTTCAGAGCCCTAGTTTAAGCCTGTGGTTTTCTTCATCACCAATCACCAGCCTGGCAGAGACTAGTGAGTGCGGAGTTCAGAGCCCTAGTTTAAGCCTGTGGTTTTCTTCATCACCAATCACCAGCCTAGTAGAGACTAGTGAGTGCAGAGTTCAGAGCCCTAGTTTAAGCCTGTGGTTTTCTTCATCACCAATCACCAGCCTGGCAGAGACTAGTGAGTGCGGAGTTCAGAGCCCTAGTTTAAGCCCGTGGTTTTCTTCATCACCAATCACCAGCCTCGTAGAGACTAGTGAGTGCGGAGTTAAGAGCCCTAGTTTAAGCCTGTGGTTTTCTTCATCACCAATCACCAGCCTCGTAGAGACTAGTGAGTGCGGAGTTCAGAGCCCTAGTTTAAGCCCGTGGTTTTCTTCATCACCAATCACCAGCCTGGTAGAGACTAGTGAGTGCAGAGTTCAGAGCCCTAGTTTAAGCCCGTGGTTTTCTTCATCACCAATCACTAGCCTGGCAGAGACTAGTGAGTGCAGAGTTCAGAGCCCTAGTTTAAGCCTGTGGTTTTCTTCATCACCAATCACCAGCCTGGTAGAGACTAGTGAGTGCAGAGTTCAGAGCCCTAGTTTAAGCCCGTGGTTTTCTTCATCACCAATCACCAGCCTGGTAGAGACTAGTGAGTGCAGAGTTCAGAGCCCTAGTTTAAGCCCGTGGTTTTCTTCATCACCAATCACCAGCCTGGTGGAGACTAGTGAGTGCGGAGTTCAGAGCCCTAGTTTAAGCCTGTGGTTTTCTTCATCACCAATCACCAGCCTGGTGGAGACTAGTGAGTGCGGAGTTCAGAGCCCTAGTTTAAGCCAGTGGTTTTCTTCATCACCAATCACCAGCCTGGTGGAGACTAGTGAGTGCGGAGTTCAGAGCCCTAGTTTAAGCCCGTGGTTTTCTTCATCACCAATCACCAGCCTCGTAGAGACTAGTGAGTGCGGAGTTCAGAGCCCTAGTTTAAGCCCGTGGTTTTCTTCATCACCAATCACCAGCCTGGCAGAGACTAGTGAGTGCAGAGTTCAGAGCCCTAGTTTAAGCCCGTGGTTTTCTTCATCACCAATCACCAGCCTGGTAGAGACTAGTGAGTGCAGAGTTCAGATTCTTGGTTTTTTTTTTCTGTGGTCGTTTAACGGGAGACCCAACTCCTTGATCAAATGGCCGTCACCTTGGACCCTTTAATTTGTAGTCAAATTAATGGAAACCCATTTTCTTTAGATTTGTTTGAAAGAAAGAGAAATATACACAATGTTTTTAGCATTTATTTCTGAGAATTTCTTATACAAAAATTAAAACATCAATGTCATTGTCATCTCCATACAACAATGTCATTGTCATCTCCATACAACAATGTCATTGTCATCTCCATACAGCAATGTCAATAATGTCATTGTCATCTCCATACAACAATGTCATTGTCATCTCCACACAATAATTTGATGCCTTAAGATAATCTCCTACCAACTGTTAAAGTTCAAAGAAAGATATATTCAGCACACACCCAGGCCATCACCCTGACATAGAATCAACCAAGAGAAACCACCAAATGAGAATGGCATTGCCTGACCAATCTTTGAATCCTTGTACTTGGCTCAACAACATTACAGATAGTTATTATTGGATTTATTCTTCATGTGCTTTATTAACTAAAACTCTGAGTAGCCAGATTTAGTTATTGAAGGTTATGTCTGAATTTGGTTGTAGGTTGACCTTGACAAATACAATGCATATGTATAGCATCAATCAACTGTTGTATGCCTACTCAGTACAGCATCAATCAACTGTTGTATGCATACTCAGTACAGCATCAATCAACTGTAATATGCAAAATCATTCAACAAAACTTTGTTTTCTCATTTGTAGTTTTTTGTGTGCTGAGAAAATGATTGCATTGTAACATTGGTATTTCTACATTGTAACATTGGTATTTCTACATTGTAACATTGGTATTTCTACTTTGTAACATTGGTATTTCTACTTTGTAACATTGGTATTTCTACATTGTAACATTGGTATTTCTACATTGTAACATTGGCATTTCTACTTTGTAACATTGGTATTTCTACTTTGTAACATTGGTATTTCTACTTTGTAACATTGGTATTTCTACATTGTAACATTGGTATTTCTACTTTTTAACATTGGTATTTCTACTTTGTAACATTGGTATTTCTACTTCGTAACATTGGTATTTCTACTTTGTAACTTTTGTATTTCTACTTTGTAACATTGGTATTTCTACTTTGTAACAACTTTGATCCATGTAATTTCATGATAGGAGACCCTTTCATAATCTAGAATGAGAAAATGGTTGGACCATACAAAAGCTAGTTTACTCTTCCATTCAACTTCTTCAATGATGTGTCTCCTCTATGTCAATTCAGGGGTCAGGGGTTAATTCCTGTACTGCTTGTTGTAAATCTTCTGCCTTGGTGACCAGCACTGCTTCAACTTCCCATGGGTCAGCTCTATCAGTGGTCAGAACCTGGGTATTAGTGAACAGCATGACTTCTTCCCCGCTAGGTTCAGTTCCATCAGAGGTCACTTCCTGTGATGTGCTATCTTGTTGAATTTCTTCTGGGATATCCCTAATTATCAACACGATGTCATCTTCCTTAGGGTCAGTTCTGCCAGTGGTCAGTTCCTGCACATTAGTGACCTGGATGGATTCACCGATCTCAGGGTCAGCTGTAGTGGTCACATCTTGTGATACTGTGTCTGCTCGTTGAGCGGCCAGATCAAGAAAATAAGCCAATCGAATTGGAGCTTCCACTAAAACATTAATGGTTCTCACGCTGTCCACTAGCTTGAGGTCAAAGTCACCTGTAACAAGAGATTATTTATAATTCGATAAGACTTTCATAAAATATATTTAATTTGAATTTTGTCTTGCCCCAACACTTAGGTGTCTAACATCATCTTCACGCAACTACTGAAAAAAACTAATGACTATTTTTCTTGACAGAATCAACTACATAAAATGGTATGTACATGTTTCAGTAGATACATATCTTAATATTGTGCCTGGTAAATTATCCACAGAAGAAAATTAAAAAAATCTTAAACTGATAAATAGAAACTCTTTTCTGATTACTACATCAATTTGTGAATATATTATCTAAAGAGTGACTTGAAAATAAATAGAACTGGCATCCTTTCTTTATCACAATCATCCACACCCTATCACAATCATTCTATTCTATCTTGATCATTAGTACTCTATCTCAATCACTCCATTTAGCTCTCTATTACTGTTAAAAAAAATATAACTTCTAAATGAGAGATTGACATGTTCCATGCTCTCAAAATTAAAACTATCAAACATGCAGTCATTGATGGTCAGTTTGTATTATTCCACAGAAAACAATAGAACATTTGGTTGTTGTGTCTTTACAATGAACTTGACTTGTCTTACAGTTTTCCTGTCAACAGACTACAAGAAGCAGTGTTCCTACCTTCAGTCCTTTGCCCCCTTGATCTTTTGGTGAACATCTTCAACATGGGCAACCTCTGGATGTAGGTCACGTGAACACAACCAATCAGCTCGAGCATCTGGACAAAAAAGTCAACAATATCTTACATGTGTCATAATAAAAAAAAGGCAAAGTTACCCCCTCCCCACAGACGCCGCGCAGCAGTTTTGAGGATTCGCGCAGCAAATTTCCATGCAAGTGCGTGTTTGTATTTGTGGGCTGTAAAATTTTGCGCACCCAATAGTTCCCATGTCATGGGTTTTCTCCGCTGTTTAGCGTGGCCCAATAGTTCCCATAATGTGCGTCCCGAGGGGCCGAGCCTTCCTACCAGTGGAGTCACTAAATATTACCCACTTTTAAAATAATTTTATATCCACTTTCAATCCAATACCACATATTATCGAATCTATCAATCACAGGAATAATTACTGTTTGCGGACGCTCCTACGAATGGTTACCACATGGTGCTTAGTGACCTACATAAGTGGGTTATTCATTTGTACCCAAACATTTACTTTAAACACAATGGTGCCCTAGTTAGAATTCCACATACGGCGCCTAGGGAAAACCTAACTGCGGCAAGGATGCCAAGAGGAAGAAATGACGACACCCGCACGGAAACGCACAAAGGCAAACGAATGACTAAATATTTCTGTCACTAATCAACGAGCTAGTTTCTTCTACAAACACTAAACAAAGAAACAACAGTAAAAAGAAACGACGCGGTGACAGATTTATTAACTTCGAAATTAATTAGAAATCATGGATCTTTGGCTTTATTAGATATAATTTATTGATGAACTGTCCGAATTTCAGGATAATTATTGCAGGATATGTGCATAAATATGTGTGCTTTCTGTCGAGGACCCCCCTCCCACATATACATCAATACTAAAATCTACAACATTAATAAAAAAACCTTCCCCACAGTGCCTACGTAGTGTATGGATGGCCACACATGAGCACATAGCAAGGCTGATATTTCTTGACATAATTTATAATGATATCTGAGATTGGGAAAGTCTAAATAAATATGTTATCAGCATTATTGGATATGAAGAAGATCAAACCTTCTTGGCAGAAAAATGTCGTCAATGAAAGGAGAGCGCTTTTATAAGATCGGAGATCTCTTTATACCGTACTCACATCCAAGACCTCGGCCGTGGTGGCAGGAAGGACATCTGGATTTAAGACATAACAGAGTCTGGCCACTGGACAGCCCGGGTGTAGGAGCAGGTACGTCATGATACGATGCAGCAGCAGATGGAGGCCCTCGGGGTTCAGGTGACCATTGAAGTGACGCCATAACCGACATGGATAAATGATGGTTTTACTGAAACAGCCATAGGTAAATGATTGGTTTTACTGAAACAGCCATAGGTAAATGATGGTTTTACTGAAATGGTCATAGGTAAATGATTGGTTTTATTGACATTAACATGGGTAAATGACGGTTTTACTGAACTAGTAATGATGAAAAGGGAAGTGAAACATGAAGAAATAATGGTTTGGTGTAATATGATAAACAATTGTTTAGTATAGTGAAGTATGATAAACAATTGTATAGTATGGTGAAATATGGATAAATAATATGCTAAGATAAAGAATACAAGAGTACATTATATTTCACTAAAACTATTAAGGTTAAATTATTATATTTATTATGGTATGTTAAAACATTGTTAATTCTAGATGCAGTTTAGAGTAGATATAGTCATATCAAGTGACCAATGTCCTATTTCAGAAGAGACAAAAGCGTAATGGGCAGTTAGAGTGGCAATTTAATATGTCTCCTTGTTTTCACATTCATATATATGGAGCATCATTGTTTCTGGATCCTCCAGTCTACTAATATACTAATGTACTTAATAACGAATATACTAATGTACTAATATAATAATTTACAAATGTAGCCTATGAAATCTTGGATAAAGAAAGACGAGCGTGGTAATGATTTGAAATTTAGTTTCTTTGGGAGTGGTTTCCCCATGGGTTTACAGGGGAAGTCATCAGAAATTCTTAGTATTAAAAAAATAATCACGGTGACGTACCTTTGTTCCATTGGCACCCAGTCATCGATGTTTAATTTGACGTCATGACGTTTGACAACTTCCACAAACCAGACTTTGGCGTGTCGTCTGCTTACATACCTCCTTTGAGCAATGCCCACCGTAAACACCTGTAGGTTTGATTAAAAAAAGGACCCTTATTAACACACTATGAGTAGGAACGAGGCCAGGGGTTGGCAATCTTTTCTGATTAAACCCCCTTTATAAAAAATGAATCAAATCTGCTAAGAAAAAATTTAGGGAGCCACATGCAAGGAAGAATCAGTCAATTCAAAGAGCCGTATGTTGCTGACGCCTGAACTAGGAATAACTTAATCTCAGATATATTTACTGGTCAAATCGTATCAAACTGGTACAAATGATTTACCCAGTTTCAAACAGGTACGCTTGTCATTTGCCCAACATTATAATTAAAGAAAACATATTACATGCGCCTTTACAGATTTCAAGACTTTTAAGTTTAATTTGTCATCCTAAATGTATTTACTTCACTACAAGTTGGTTAGTAGCATTTACGTTCAAACTATCCACAATTTTGCACACAACATTGGATATATCTATTCTGATTTCTAAAAAAGTCAAGATAAAAATTGAACACAAAACAACACCACCCCTCTTTCCTCAACAAAACATTAAAACCATCATTCTAAGCAACAACAAAAACGACAGAAACAACAGCACAACGTCCTTGCTAAACAAAACAGCACAACGTCCTTGCTAAACAAAACAGCACCACGTCCTTCAACAAAACAGCACCACGTCTTTCTTCAACAAAACAGACAGCACAACGTCCTTGCTAAACAAAACAGCACAACGTCCTTGCTAAACAAAACAGCACCACGTCCTTCTTCAACAAAACAGCACAACGTCCTTCTTCAACAAAACAGCACAACCTCCTTGCTAAACAAAACAGCACCACGTCCTTCTTCAACAAAACAGCACAACGTCCTTGCTAAACAAAACAGCACAACCTCCTTCTTAAACAAAACAGCACAACCTCCTTCCTAAACAAAACAGCACAACCTCCTTCCTAAACAAAACAGCACAACCTCCTTCCTAAACAAAACAGCACAACCTCCTTCCTAAACAAAACAGCACAACCTCCTTCCTAAACAAAACAGCACAACGCCCTTCTTCAACAAAACAATACAATCTCCTACTTAACCAAAACATCACAACCTCCTTCATAACCGAAACAGCACCACCTATTCCCTAACTCAAACAGCACAACCTACTTTCTAACCCAAACAGCACAACCTACTTCATAATCCAAACAGCAAAACCTACTTCCTAACCGAAACAGCCCAATCGCCTTCCATTGCAAAATAAATAAAATCTACTAGCTAACAAAGTGATCCCTATAATGATATAATGCAATACAATATTACAATTCTATCGGAAATCTACTTAACTAAACAACTCCGTGGACTCCACCCCCCCCCCCGATACTGTTATGATATAATAGTTAAAAGACCTCCCACAAAATCTAAGACACACGCTGAAATACCTCTGAACACAAGATCTAAGACAAACAAACTGAAATACCTCTGAACACAAGATCTAAGACAAACAAAGTGAAAGACCTCTGATCACGAGATGTCAGACGCACAAACTGAAAGGCCTCTCGGCCCAACACAAGATCTAAGACACATGACCTGAAAGACCTCTGATTACACGATCGAAGACACACAAACTAAACCGACCTCTAAGCTGAACACAAGATGTATGACACACCAACTGAAAGACCTCTCAGCCTTACACAAGATCTGAGAAACACGGAGATTTCGCCCAATCAAGAACCAATCAATACCCGACAGTTCCATAAATGGTTTACCCTCTCCTCTGATGAATGACGGTTTGCTAACTTAACATAACAGAAAATTGATCCCTTACGCCAGTGGCGCTCCCAACCTTCTCCACAGGCTAGGCCCTAAGGCATATAGAGAAGAAGAGTAAGACAGAGAAAAAGATGGGAAGATAACATCAAAGAGTGGAAGGGACTAAAACTAGGCGATGCTGTGCGAAGAGCAGAAAACAGAGACGAATGGAAAAGGATAGTTTTCATGTCATCTGTGACGCCCCAACGGTCCAAGGGCCCTATGACATATAGCGCTCACAAACGTCTGCATAGGCCCTATGGCATATATCTTTCCCAAACTTCTCCATGGGATAGGCCCTATGACATATAGCTTCCCTAAACTTCTCCATGGGATAGGCCCTATGGCATATAGCTTCCCTAAACTTCTCTATGGGCTAGGCCCTATGGCATATTATACCTTTCCCAAACTTCTCCATGGGATAGGCCCTATGGCATATAGCTTCCCTAAACTTCTCCATGGGCTAGGCCCTATGGCATATTATACCTTTCCTAAACTTCTCCATGGGATAGGCCCTATGGCATATAGCTTCCCTAAACTTCTCCATGGGCTAGGCCCTATGGCATATTATACCTTTCCCAAACTTCTCCATGGGATAGGCCCTATGGCATATAGCTTCCCTAAACTTCTCCATGGGCTAGGCCCTATGGCATATTATACCTTTCCCAAACTTCTCCATGGGATAGGCCCTATGGCATATAGCGCGATTATTTAGGACCAACTAGAAAATAACACGGGCATTGTAACATTACGTTTCAGGAAGTTTGTTTGAGAGATTAATCTTCACAGTCATACAAAAAGATGTACACTTAATTATTGAATGTCTACAGAAATACACATCACAAGAGCTACATGACCTAACATGGCCCTGACCTAAATGACATGCGCATGACCTCTGACTTATACATGATCTAACTAACATGTCCATGATCTAACTGATGTGTACATGACATAAGTGACTTATGAATGACCTAAATGACTTGTAAACGATCTAAACAACGTACTTGTATGTCTTGAGACCTCGCTGTACATGACATAACTGACTTATGAATGACCTAAATGACTTGTAAACGATCTAAACAACGTACTTGTATGTCTTGTGACCTCGCTGTACATGACATAAGTGACCTATGAATGACCTAAATGACTTGTAAACGATCTAAACAACGTACTTGTATGTCTTGTGACCTCGCTGTACATGACATAAGTGACCTATGAATGACCTAAATGACTTGTAAACGATCTAAACAACGTACTTGTATGTCTTGTGACCTCGCTGTACATGACATAAGTGACCTATGAATGACCTAAATGACTTGTATGTCTTGTGACCTCGGTGGGGCGAGGCTTTCAGCTTACGTGTTTGTGTAACGTTATATAAAAAAACAACAATCCAATTTGATTTTTTTCCAGGCATTTCTCACAAATCAGCGTTGATCAGTTCAATGAGATCATCAGGAAATGACTTGCTTTGAGGACTCAACATCACGGGACAGAGAGGAAACTGATCCCGATTTTTGTTCATGAATAATTACAATGGAATTAATTGGGATATGTCCCAAACACTGTTTGTATTACTGCACCATTTTTGTGTTGATAGAATTTCAAACACAAACAGGAAATCCAACTACATAGGACGTACAAATAAATAGGACACATGACATCCAACTAAAAAGGATACAGGAAATTCAACTAAATAGGATATTATTTTACTTCATAGGTTGAAGATTTATATGGAGGATTTCTTATCCGTTGCTATATCTTTCCGTTTAAATTTACTGAACCCTATTGGATTACTCTACCGATTGACAGGCAAATGATGAACTCTATATGTCTATTGAATTACTCTACTGATTGACATGCACATGATGAACTCTAGGACTATTGGATTACTCTACTGATTGACATGCACATGATGAACTCTAGGACTATTGGATTACTCTACTGATTGACATGCACATGATGAACTCTAGGACTATTGGATTACTCTACTGATTGACATGCACATGCTGAACTCTAGGACTATTGGATTACTCTACTGATTGACAGGCACGAGCACATTTGATATTATTAAACTAAATGTCATTTAGGAAAAAAATACCACTATCCATTAAAGAAATGGTCCACATAAAAATGATTGAATCGTTAAATAGTCGACGTAGAATAACGTTGGCAGTGAGCGTGTGTCTGTAGATCGTTGGCAGTCAGCGTGTGTCTATAGAGCGTTGGCAGTCAGCGTGTGTCTGTAGAACGTTGGCAGTCAGCGTGTGTCTGTAGATCGTTGGCAGTCAGCGTGTGTCTGTAGAACGTTGGCAGTCAGCGTGTGTCTGTAGAACGTTGGCAGTCAGCGTGTGTCTGTAGAACGTTGGCAGTCAGCGTGTGTCTGTAGAACGTTGGCAGTCAGCGTGTGTCTGTAGATCGTTGGCAGTCAGCGTGTGTCTGTAGAACGTTGGCAGTCAGCATGTGTCTGTAGAACGTTGGCTGTCAGCGTGTGTCGGTAGCCTGCCTCCCCAAGCACCCTATTCCTTATCTATCCCCGGCGCCCATGCAGTGAAGCTTGCCTCCCCAAGCACCCTATTCCTCTTCTTCCCCGGCGCCCATGCCGGATCGATTAACCAATAAAAGAATGCCGCACACAAAATTGGAACAAAACAAACACGATTGGGATTCATATCCGGTACAAAAAGAACCCTCTAATTTGGGGGGCCGGGGGGAGGGACTTGACCCGTAAAGGTTGGATGGTATTCGCTGGAAAGTCAGTCAACACATTTCGATTCATCGGCCATCAAAATGCATAATTCTATACGTAACGATTTAATAATGAGCTAATGTCACTAAAGCTTTCACTTAATAAAACTGCCGATACCTGCGCTAAATGAGATTCTTGAAAATACCACACTAGCGCTTGGTGCGTACTCTTGTCTTTTGTTTTACGGGAATCTGTCTCTTTCTTTTAGAGAAATAGTGTCATTGATGTTATAAATCTGCGCCAAATATAATTTCCCGTAATTAAGCTAAATGATTTTTATTATATGTAACGCAATTGCGTTTGTTCTTTTCGGGTAATGAAATTGTCTCAATTTAAATATTGTGTCATAAATTCTATTCGGTTTAAAAGAGGTTAACAGAATAGAATTAGATTATTCATGGGCGTCAAATACAAAAGTGTGCAGTGAAGTATCATGGGAAGGGGTGTAGCAAAAATTGGTATTCTTAAATGTGCGTTACTTGAGTT